CCCCAAAACCCCAAAACCCCAAAACCCCATGAAGAGTTTGATGTCTTATGGCTAACTGTTAAAAATAAGAAAAAAGGTATAATTTGATAGTTATATACACAAAATTATTTATATATTAATGATATAACATATAGTATAGATTCAAAAAACGTGTGACTACTTTTATAATTCAAAACTCATTATTAAGGAACATGTCATCATCCACCCCTCCCATTATATTATTGATTCTGATTGTACTAAGTGGCCCATCTAGAACACTGAAATTCCCTAGATGCGGGATAATAGTTTAGTTTTATAAATTGATGATATTTGGAGAACTAGAATTATCCTCTAATAAGTTTGTACTCCCATACATATCAGAAATAGGATTGTATTCGTTCATTCCTAAGATGTTATTGTTATTATTATTGATGTTGTTACTATTTGCAGGTTGAGTAAAGCTAAGCTAGTGATTTAATTAATTTTGATAAGTCATTTGCACATAATCTATAATGTGGGGATTTGGTGGTATCATGTTTCCTTATAAATGAGTTCCGAAGTTTTATTGATAATGTTTTATTTGGATCTTATTGATCATATCCTTTATTGGTAGTCTAATTTAAGACCAGTTTGGATTTAACTCCTCAACTGACTTTTCAAAATTAGCTTGGCTGTCATACTTAGAATCATATTCAGGATAATCATGGTTTTGGTAATAATCATCGCTATAAGAAGACGAATTGTTACGCATGTACTGCTCTCTATCCTCTGGATTGATTTTTTATATGTCAAATAACTTCTTGAATTTCTAATTTTACTACATTTTAACAAGTTTTTCAAAGTCAATCTTGTTTTGATATTTCTTCCTCTTGCCGATCACTCCTGTTGAAGTCTATTTCACAATTTCTTTTAATTTCTATGGGCTCTCTAGTCCATTAACTACTGGACTTTTTCCATTTGATTTACTAGGAATAGCAATCTAGGGTAAACTAGTAGCGCTTTATTTTTAGATTATACTTTGCTTTCTACTAGGTTTTTAATTAATTTCTGGAGATTTAAATGATCGTTTCCTTTTAGCTGGGGAATCTTCTTATTCTTCTTATTTAGTACTTTTATCATTCAGAGACTAAAGCTATGGTGCAACATTATTTTTGAAAAAGCTGGCTTGGCTTTGCCTGGTTGGACTTTGCTGACTAGCTGACTTTTCATTCTATGATTTAGTAGAGGTAGAGACAGTGATAGGCTGTTTCTGGCTAACTGAGTTATTCAAATGATTAACAACCTCCCATTCCAACCTGTAAACCTCATTCTCACTATTAATAAGCTTCTCTTTATACCTCTCATTTTTCAAACTACACACTCTCGATCTCTTCCTAACATTACGTTTTTTTTCATCCTAAGAATAGTCTGATTCTCCTACATCATCTGGTTCCATTGTAGGACCTTAGCCAATGAGTAACCCTTGCTTGTTCATTTTTCGAAAGAACTTTTGTGCATGGGAACGAGTTTAAGGACATGATCATGTACTTATGTACTTTTAAATTTGATTCCAGTTTTTGCCGAATAGAATCAAACCTTTTAAGAACTTCATATGTTCTTCGTCGCTCCATATTCCTTGGTTAAAATTGCCATCATTTTGTACCGATATCTCGTTTTCTAATGTCCCATTTTTGATTTATTTGGTTGAATCTTTTGACTCCTTTGATTCATCTTTTTCAGGAATCTATTTAATATCTTAAAATTCAACTTTTCCTCGAGTTTTTTCACTGTGAGTCATTTCTCTCTCGTTTGAGCTATGATCTAAATCATTTTCGATGTTAGAATTTATGTACTTATTGGGGAATATCTGCTCGCTATAGTGTCTCTGCTGAAGATGCATGGGAATTTAATAGAGCTGATGATCAGTAGGTCTTAGTTAAGCCATGTTTTCCGCAAAGAAGTTTTAAACTCTTTAATTTGGTATATTCCCGCCTTGATTTAAATCAGTAGGCATTAAGTTGATGACCGGACGAACCGGTTCTGGGCTTAAGCTACTAAATTAGCTCACATTTTTCCCACTGAACTTACTTTAGTACCCCTTAGTCGCTAATTCATCATCATCACTATCCATCAAGGCATCCTTTTTTCTATTGTAAGGACTTTCGATCTCTTAAGCATAGTTAATCAATCTCTAGTTTTGATTGAAATTATCATCTGTTTCCTATGCATAGCCTAAAATAAGAAAGGACTAAGAAAATATGTCTTGAGACAGTGTATCTTATCAGTAGTATAGGCGAAAACTTACCCTTATGAAAGAAGCTGTTTTGCTCAATAAAGTTGGCCTAATCACATTCTTTTCCCCTGGCTGGTGAAGTTTCTCCATCTTTGCGAACGAACGAACCGAAATCTTCCATATTTGACACTATTTACCAATGGTTAATATTTAAACTAAGTGAAAGAAAAGAGGAAGCGCTAATAGGTAAGCAACGTACTATCTTTTAATTTATCTGCCCTTCACTCTTATTTTTAATAAAGATAAACATTTGCTTTATTTATCAAATTATTTCTTTAAATTTAACTTAATTTAGATAATTAATCTTATTGGAGGGGTTTTGGGGTTTTGGGGTTTTGGGGTTTTGGGG